AACAATTAATAGTTTAATAAATTATTAGTGTCTCTTCTCTGGAATATTAGCTTTCTTCACTATGAGTTTCAGGGCTTTTAAGAAATAGCTGAGTTTCTTCTTGTTCCCAAAGGAAATCGTTTGGAATTTGTCAGGTTGAAGACGGGCATGTCTGTTTTTACAAATTTAGGGGCGCCTGGGCGGCTCAATTGGTTAAGCATTTGACTCTTGATGTCATCTCAGGTCATGATCTCAGGGTCATGAGATCGAGCCCCGCGTTGGGCTCCACACTGGGTGTGGAGTCTGCTTGAGATTCTCTCTCCCTCTCCCCCGTCCCCTCTAAAAAATATTACTAGAAATTTAAGCAGATCTCAACCATTTTGTGGGGGTTTTTTTATATATTTAAAAAAATTTTTTTCTACACCACTTGTCATTTCTTTTTGTTTGTTTTTTTTATTTTTTAACGTTATATTCATATAAAACAATTTCAGTTCAAGTATTTCAAACTTGGTTTCTTAATATTTCTCCACAGAAAACCTAGAGCCTTGGAAAAATATATTTAAGATCGAAGGATAGCTAACACTTACACTGAGAGCTATGTGCTATGCACTGTTCCAAGTGGTTTACATGTACTTACTCACTTAAATATCTTCTCACTACCTGATAGGGTAGAACTAGCATTAACTCCAATTTACGCATGAAGATAACTGAGATGTAGAGAAGTTAAATAACTTATCCAAGATCACATGGCTAATAAGGAGCAGAGCCAGGATTTGAACCCAAGTAAACTGGCTCTGGAGTTAGATTTTCTGTTGTTACTGTGGCCTTATCCAACTATAATGTGTTACTTACCTCACATTTAAAAAGTCACTATTACCTAGTATGCGGCAATAAAAATCATTAAAACTTGTTTTATTTACATTTGCATTTTATAAGCAGCTGATTAATATAAATTGAAATGTGATGAAATGAGTTTGCAGCTCTAATCGCCATTTATATACTCCAATATATTTAAATTAAATTAATGTGCTAATGTACAACTATTTCCCCTTAATTTATAGCAGCATATTTTCTTTCAAGGCATTATTTATGTTTTTAAACACATTATAGAAATTAAATGACTTAAAGGATATACAGAAAGAAAACAACTGGAAATAAACTCAGATGTACATATTCAGAAAAAGATACTGAAGTTAATAATATGTGTCTTAAAAATCAATACAGTGTCCTTTTCGTTCCCAATCTGTATATCGGGTAGGTTCTGGGCCTCTAGGTCCACCTTTTTCTTTGGTAACAGGATTAATATCATCTGGAAATTTTGTCAGTGGTTCTTTCTCTAAGAATCTTCGGGTGCATCAAAACGACCTTCTGGTAACTTTGGCTTCTTAAGAGATTGTTTGATGGGTTTGGATTTTTCTCCTAGAGAACTCATTTTCCTCACAGAATGACATAAAAGGGGTGATCTAGCCGCTCTCCACGCGGTGGCCGGGACACAGCCAAGCAACCAAGCCAGGCTTGACACAGACATGGTGCCAAATCCCACAGCGTCCTCATGGGCCCAGCAGGGAGAGGCGGGTAGTCAGTGGCACCGACCGGGGCCCACCCTCTCTTTTTTTTTGTTTTTGAGCAGGAAGTTCCATTTCTAAGCCAGATGTGATTACCTTATTGGAGCAAGAGAAAGAGCCCTGGGTGGTTGTGAGGAGAGAAACAAGCAGATGCTTTCCAGGTGAGTAGGGGAGAAGCCGGCAGAGAGGGTCAGAGAGGGGTCATACCCTTGAGATGTGGCTTGGGAAAATGCCTTCAAAGACCCAAGTCTGTTGGATAAAAATGCCTGAGATCTGAGAAGGAAATAAGGATCACACAGTGTGGGCTTTCAAAGGAACTCCATCTTTTGCTAATCATCTCTAATTTTTGTTCTTTTATTTCCTCTCCTTTAGTGGAGTGAGTGCCCTCTTTCCCAGTGTAACCTTTTTTTTTTTTTTTTAAAGATTTTATTTATTTATTAGAGAGCGCGTGCCCATGAACAGGGGCAGAGGGAGAGGGAGAGCGAGAACCCCAAGCAGACTTCCGCGCTGAGCGTGGAGCCCATCATGGGGCTCGATCCCACGATGCTGAGACCATGACCTGAGCTGAAATCAAGAGTCAGACACTTAACTGACTGAGCCACCCAGGCGCTCCCCTCCCCCAGTGTAACCTTTTAACATATATTTTGCATCCAGCTGCTTTCCAGCTCTGCTTTTGCATTTACATTTCTATATGTGTTTCCAGTGTCTAAAAAATGTTTTCATATATTCAGCAAATATTTATCGAGGGTCCACTCCAAGCAAAGCACTGTGCTTGGCACTGTCTGTACAATGAAATGAACATGACTGATAGAGTCGTGCTCTCATGGACTTTACCTGCAGTTGGCAAGACATGGATCAATCAAGTAAGCAGATGAGTAAAGCAGTACTGTCAGGAATGATGCTGTGCAGACAAGTATATAGGAGCAATGCAGTGAGAATGACAGGCTTGGATGGTTAGGGAGCATGTCTTGAAGTGGGCATGCTTGCACAGTCGTGAAGGGTTAAGACTGCAAGAGCAGTCTAGTCTGAGCGGGACACACAGAGGCCCTGAGCGGGAAATGGTTTCTGTATGCCTGGGAGCAATAAGAAGTTTCGAGCAGAAGAGGTGAAGGGATGGTGGGAAAGGAGGTTAGGGAGTTAGGCCAGGACCAGATCCTACAAGGTTCTGATCATCACTGTGAAGAACATAGAATGTTTTCCAAGAGTTACTTAGAGCCATGTTCTGATCTATGTTAAAAGTGTTCATTTCTTCGTTTTCAAACAAACTAAGTATGACAAGAATACAGAAAGCCACATAACACAAAGAGCTGCATGATTAAGTATTTTAAGGTACCCACAGCTTTAACTACCAGGTTGTGAGTTAGGATTTTGCCAGCTGTCCCGGAAGCCTATTGTGGTCTCTTTGCAGGAAAGGTTTTTCTCTAGAGCTTTATTGTCTGAGTGAACTTCTCCAGTTTGGTTTTGTTTTCCCTGTCATTTTAAAAAGTCTTTTAAGTCTCTTTTAGATTAAAGGTTCCTCTTGATTTTTTTTTTTTTTAAAGCTTTTATTTATTTATTTGACCGAGAGAGACACAGTGAAAGAGGGAACACAAGCAGGAGGAGTGGGAGTGGGAGAAGCAGGCTTCCTGCTGAGCAGGGAGCCTGATGTGGGGCTCCATCCCAGGACCCTGGGATCATGACCTGAGCCGAAGGCAGTCTCTTACCGACTGAGCCACCCAGGCACGCTTGATTTTTTTGTTAACAGGTTTTTCTTGATTAAATTAGATCATTTGTCACGTAGTTTCACACCATCTGGATTTTGCTGATGGCATCTTGGCGGTATGGAGGAACATGTCCCTCTATTTCCTGTAAAATGATAGTTGGGTCTAGAAGGTTAATCAGACTTTTGGGAAACTTTCTTTCCCTAGGTGATGATGATATTCTTCAGTCCACTGGCATGTGATATCTGGATTTCTCATTTTAGTAATATCTGCAGCCACTGACAGGCAGTTACTATGTCCCTTAATTTGTTAGAGGTTGTAAATTGGTGGATATTCGAATTCCGTCTGGAATGCATCTGTAAAAAGAAACTTCACGTTAACTGTTATTCAGTTATACAGATCATTTGGAAAATTGAAGATAAATATTCTTTTCCTTGGTTTACTAATTTTCTAAATAATGAGTTGGTTTCTAACATCCTTTCAAAGGTGACCCATTTTGGGGGCACCTGGGTGGCCATCGGTTAAGCGGCTGACTCTTGGTTTTGGCTCGGGTCATGATCTCAGGGTCCTGGGATCGTGCCCCGAGTTGGGCTCCCTGCTCAGCGGGGAGACTGCTTCTCCCTCTGCCCCTGCCCCCC